GATTGCTCGCAGCCAGAATCCAAAAGCGCTTCAAACGTCACCGGTCTAGAATCTATAGACAAAACGCATGAAAAAACCCCCACCGGGAACCAGAATTTCACTCTCCACCCACCAGTAGTCCCAGCTTTACTGACGGGCTCTCCCTTTTGACAGTTTAGGACAGTTACTCACAAAATGTCCTGCAGTTCCACAGTACAAACAAAGTCTTAGTCTTTGGCGATACTCTCTCTCTTCTTGTGTGAGACGGGTTCTTCCCATCTGCATTGGCTCCTCTGTGTTAGGTTGTGCGCGATTAGGAAAGCCTGGGTTCTGGTCATGGCCTGCGGCTGCTGCTGGTACGGGGGTGTGTCTGCTGAGCTCCCGTTGGCGTTTATCAATCGAAATGGTAAGTCTAATGAGTTCCTCCAGGGAACTGGGTTCTGGACACAAGGCTAGTTGGTTCCTCACCTTGTCACTCAGGGCCTCAGTAAACACTCCTATGAGGGCATCCTCATTCCAATTGGTTCTGGCCGCAAGAATGCAGAAATCCACAGCCAGGTCCGCCACAGATATTTTCCCCTGGGAGAGTGCCATGAGCTTCTTCCTAATGTCCGAAAACGACTCGTGTCCACCAAAAGTGAGTTTGAAATCAGTGATAAACATATTAAAGGGTCCTTGTAAAAACGAGTTGTCATGACTCTTCGCCTCAGCCCACTTAAGCGCCCGCCCTATTAACAGTCCAACAATATATGAAATTTTAGCAGAGTCTGATGTAAAGGCCGAGGGACAACGTTCAAACGCCAGTTTACATTGTAACAAGAAACTATTACTGTCTTCGAACTCTCCACTAAAAGTCTCAGTCTGAGGTGAGGGCACCACACGAAAATGATTTCTCTCCCAGGGAGAGGCTTGCTCCTGACTGGCAGGAATTTCTGGTGTAGATGCAGCAGACAGTGGTGCTGATGGCTGGAGAGGTTGATTAGCTTGGGAGAGGGTTTCGTGAATTTGTCGAACAAGGGTTTCCAGTTGCTGATATTGCTGGTTAACTGTGGAGAGTTTTTCCATGACAACGGGGAGGTTCTGTTCCTGTTGACTTAAACGTTGTGACAGATTAGACAATGCTGATTCTGCTGGGTTAGAATGTTGGCCGGATGATTCTGTCATGTTCTGAGGTATGTGCTTAACCCAAGACATGCAGAATCGGAGACCGGAGGCAAGTATGATGGTAAAAAGTAAAAATAATTTTATTTTGACAGGAGAACTAAGGACGCACTGAAGTCCAGCGGTTTCAGAAACAGGAAGCGGCGTCTACAGGGAAACAGAGGTGAGTATGGGAGTTGTAGTTCTGGGAGATTTGTTTGTAGTCGGACTTACTATGCAGAAGAGGAGTTGGAACTTGGAGGGGGAGAGAGCCGGGGTGATATCCAAAGTGAGGTAGCGGTCCAAGATGATGAGTGAGACGGAGGATGGTTTGAGGAGGTTGATTCGGAGAGGGAGCGTGAGTGTGGTGGAGAGCGGATCGGCTGGCGGAGGTGAAACAGGAAACGAACCAATGATCTTCTTCCAGAGAGAGCGAGATATCCGAGGATCCAGGAACCTGAGGTGAGTACCAAAAACACATGAGCGAGTAATCCAAAAATCCAAAACACGACAAATCTTTGAGAAAAGTTTAAGCAAAATCTCGAAGGGCAAGTGACTACCAGTTAGTGGCAATCATCCAGCGTCGTAGTCTGGTCACCCTCATCCTTATAAGGCCAGCCCGCTGATGAGGAACAGCTGTAGCTTCCTCTCCTGCAATCAGAACTCAAAGGTTGTGAATGAAGTGACGAGTACTCATCCCAGCTCATGACACCTATGCACATTCCGAGGAGGAACCAGAGCCGGGGGACCTGGGGATGGACTGTCCAATCTCGGGGCAGATGTTTCTGAGGTAGTCAAACAACTACACAGCGACATAGCCCCGGGGGCGGATGAGGTTCGTCCTGGGTATCTCAAGGCTATGAATGTTGTAGGGCTGTCATGGTTGACACGTCTCTGCAACATTGCGTGGTCATCGGGGGCAGTTCCTAGGGAGTGGCAGACCGGGGTGGTGGTCCCCATCTTTAAGAAGGGTGACCTGAGGGTGTGTTCCAACTATAGGGGGATCACACTCCTCAGCCTCCCTGGAAAGGTCTACTCCAAGGTACTGGAGAGGAGGGTCCGATCGATAGTTGAATCTCAGATAGAGGAGGAGCAATGTGGTTTTCGTCCTGGCCGTGGAACTGTGGACCAGCTCTATACCCTTGCAAAGGTGATAGAGGGGGCATGGGAGTTTGCCCAACCAGTCCACATGTGTTTTGTGGATTTGGAGAAGGCTTATGACCGTGACCCCAGGGGCACCCTGTGGGGGACGCTCCAGGAGTATGGGGTGGGTGGCTTTCTGTTAAGGGCCATTCAGTCCCTTTACCAGAGGAGCGTGAGTTTGGTCCACATAGCCGGTCGTAAGTCAGACCTGTTCCCGGTGAGGGTTGGACTCCACCAGGGCTGCCCTTTGTCACCAGTTCTGTTCATTACCTTTATGGACAGAATTTCTAGGCACAGCCGTGGTGTGGAGTGTGTCGAGTTTGGTGGCAGGAGAATCTCGTCTCTGCTTTTTGCAGATGATGTGGTCCTCCTAGCTTCATCCAGCTCTGACCTTCAGCTCTTGCTGGGTAGGTTCGCGGCCGAGTGTGAAGCGGCTGGGATGAGGATCAGCACCTCCAATTCTGAGACCATGGTTCTCGACCTGAAAAGGGTGGCTTGCCAACTCCGGGTCGGGAGAGAGGTCCTACCTCAAGTGGAGGAGTTTAAGTATCTTGGGGTCTTGTTCACGAGTGAGGGTAGGAGGGATCGGGAGATCGACAGGCTGATTGGTTCGGCGTCTGCAGTGATGCGGACGCTGAGCCGATCTGTCGTGGGGAAGAGGGAGCTGAGCCAGAAAGCCAGGCTCTCTATTTACCGGTCGATCTACGTCCCAATCCTCACCTATGGTCATGAGCTTTGGGAAATGACCGAAAGAACGAGATCACGGATACAAGCGGCCAAAATGAGTTTCCTCCGTAGGGTGGCCGGGCTCAGCCTTAGAGATAGGGTGAGGAGCTCAGACATTCGGGAGGGACTCGGAGTAGAACCGCTGCTCCTCCGGGTTGAAAGGAGCCGGTTGAGGTGGTTTGGGCATCTGGTCAGGATGCCTCCTGGACGCCTCCCCGGGCAGGTGTTTTGGGCATGTCCTGCCGGCAGGAGGCCCCCGGGTCGACCCAGGACACGTTGGAGAGGTTACATCTCCAATCTGGTCCGGGAACGCCTTGGGGTCCTGCCGGAGGAGCTGGTGGAGGTGGCCGGGGAGAGGACAGTCTGGAGCTCCCTAGTTGGGATGCTGCCCCGCGACCCAGACCCGGATAAGCGGAGGAAGACGATGATGACGACGACATAATCAGCCGACAACAAACACCAACAAAATACTTTGCAAAGGGTGAGAGAATCATACACACCAATATGGAAGGCAGTTTCCTCTCACAACATGGCAAAGCCTAGAGAGTCAATTTATTTGGGAACACACACACACAAAGTCAAAGATAAACACACACACACAAATTCTTTACAGACAGTCAACCGAGAAGCAGAGCCTGCAGGCAGTCATAAACAACACATTGGTTTGGCTTTTAGCCTTCTCAGGACGTTCTAATAACAATAATAAAAAGTACTGAAGTGAGGTCAGCTTTCCTGCAACAATTTAAATGTAAATAAGTTTGATGAACTCTGTTTGAAAGAATAACACCAGACGAATTATTAACAAGGTGAGGTGAAAATCAGTTTTTACCTTTCAACAGTTTGTAGAACCAATAAGAGAATTAGAAGCACAACATGTTACCTCAAAGCTGGTAGGAATCTGATTTTATTTTTCTTGGATGAAAGAACTACGGAAAGGCCACCATGGAGGGTCTAAGCTTGTTTAGGACCAATCTGAAGTACAATGCTTCAAGAGTAGCCCACCCTCCAAGTGGAACTGGAGTCTCAGTCGTGCATTATAAGGCCCCCTCATACGCTCATAGAGCTGCTCCAGTCACCGCGTCTCGTTATTGGCGCTATTTAAACCCATGTTGTAAAATTACTTCTGCCCAGCCCAGATGTGCTCACTTGTACACCCGTGAGCCGTGGTTCCGCTGGAACGCGTCTGACCTCTGACAGAGGCACTCTGAACTTCAGATCTTCAGCGCGCTGTTAGAATGCTGCACCACAGTCAGTGTGCTAATATAATAATATAATAATGCTAAAATGCTCAGATGGGAATTATTTCTTGATTTATTTTGTTACATCCACAATGTTCTGTGTGTGAGGTTTACAATGTCAGAACACCTGCATGAGACAGGTGTTAATTACAATCTGCCAGAATGACTCACCACCTTCAGATTTCTCAGACATCGTTAAAAATGATACGGAACATATCGGCGTGCGCAGGCCAGAGCGCTGAAGCTCGGAGCGCATTGTTTATGTTTATGTTTGTTATGTTTATGTTTATGTGCTTAGCAAACAACTCGGAGCGCATTGTTATTATGAAGCTAGGGCACATGCGGAGGACACACACACACACACACACACACACACACACACACACACACACACACACACACACACACACACACACACACACACACGCAAAATATACTTGTTTTCAATTGCATTTATTGGGCCCACTTACTTTTTCTTTAGCCCACCCACAAATGAGTTTCTGGCTACGCTGATTTTCAGTCAAGTTCAGCAATGAGATGAACTAAAACTTTTATTTTCTCTGCAGACTCAACATTTAGATTTAAAATGAGGTAAGATGAAAATTTCAACATTATTAACATCATGAAAGCCTAAAAGTGATGAATTACCTTCTAAAAACTATCGGAGACGTAGCATCGGCGCTGAAAACACGTGAAAACAGACAAACTGATTCTGGCAGGTTGGCATGCTGGGACCAGCTCTAGTGAAGATTTAGACTCAGTCATCAAAAAAAGTCAGGAGGACATTTTTATTTATGTTGTGGTTTTGATTATTTTGGTAGGAAGACGGGTTTCACTGGTTTAATACAGACAAAGGAGAGCTCTTGGGTGCATTCCTCGTCGTTGACATAATCTTGCTCTGAAAAAGAAAGAACAGAGTCAGAAAGCTGAGCTTTTCTTCTCGATACATGTAGAAATATCCAAACTGTTACCAACGTGGGGTCATGTGACTATCAGCTATACAAATGATCATTTCCTGTTTTCAGCTCTGACCCCAACAGCTGATCTATGCTAGTCCTGACTAACGAGCAAGGGCGTCAGTTTGTTTTCAGAATTGCTGGGGACAATAACCATACACTTGAGTGGGGTTTAAAAATTGCTGGGGACAATAAAGGCAGGCTTTTTTGAAAGTGGGGGGACACAGCTGCCAATCACAAATTTTGCCGGGGACATGTCCCCGGCGTCCCCGGTTAAAATGACGCCTATGCTAACGAGGCAGCGGTGTAGTCAGCAGTGATCTCGTACCGCGCAGGTTGATGTCCATGCAGTGCTCGTTTCCTCCCTGGTTGTTGGGTTCACCTGGACCCCAGTTCTTAAAGGTAAACGGTGTTCCATCGGTCCACATCCACAGATCGTTCTGACAGAAGAAGTGACTCAGAGTCAAGTTTACTTCTTGGTAGTCATCATTCACTCGTTCATGCTCAGTGTGAACTCAGATTTACCAGGATCAGCAGCAAGTCATGCACCATCAGAACGTCACAACCATGACTGAACTCACCCTGACTGCATTGGTGCCTCCAACCCAAGACTTTTGGTTGAATCCTGCTCCTTTGACGATCAGATCCCTGATGAAGTTGTACTGATCTGTGTTTTTGATGGAGGTCAGATGTCCGCTGTGTTTAATGCAGAATGCCTGAGGGAAAGTAAGACATGACATCATCACATCAGCTGATCCAGGTGTCCAACAATCATCTCTGAAGGCTGGATAGTCCCAGCTGAGGCAGACTGCTCTGCTGAACCTTCATTTGAAATGAGGAGCTTAGAGCTTTTAAACAGAAAATCAGCTGTACCTCAGCATCGGCCCAAGCCAGTTCCTGGTTCACAAACTGGTAACAGTAGCCATCATAGACAGTCCAGCCGCCAGGACAAAGGCGACAGAAGCCTGGAAAACAAACTACACAAACAGGAAGGAAGGACTAAAGTCACAGTTGATGATGAGAAGCAGAAAAGTGGCAAATCCAAACATGTAGATGAAGACAGTTTAAAGACTCTGAACACGAATCCTAAAACAACCCAACTTTGCCCTCGATATAAGAATCAGTCTGACTTTAGACGTTTCAACTGCAAATATTCATGGGCCTTAAATGGGGAGCCTAGGTCACGCCCATCTACCTCTGGACGATGGCTCCCCTCCTGCCAAAAGAATGAATGGGAGTCTATGAGTGGACACATTTAATTTCTGATCCTGTTTGATATGTGCCGTAGATTTCACTTCTGACGTCTGTACGTTTAAAAAACACAGTTTGATGCTAAGAAGTTTAGCGAGCTTCAAATCCGTCTTCCAGGACAACAGAAGGAGCATGAAACGTGGAGAAAACCACCATGAAGGTGGTCATGTGAGGAGGAGGGACTCTGCTGCCACGTCATTTATGACACGCCTGATTAGACTGAAGGGATTCAGGACATGAGGCAAAGCTGATCAGAAACTAGCTTTTATAGCAGCGTTTAGGAAGCTGTGAGCCAACCGGAGGGGGAGGAGCCTAAGGCTTCCCAGAGTGTAAATTATGATGCGCTCATCTGAAAACTTGATGTGATAAAACAATTAAAACACAAACCTGGTAGCAAAGCTTCAGAAAACATCTGTGGATGTAAAAAACAAAGAGTCAGAACCAGAATGAAGCCAGTAGAGACTGGGTGGACTGGTGGAACTGGGAGCTCTAAGATGAGTCATTGGTGTCACTTTAAATCGGACCTTCAGTGACGAGGAGGATCGTCTGTAAAACATGAACGAAGCTTCTGCTTCGTTGGTTTTAAACACGTTTCATTGGTTGGTTTCTCATCAGGTCATCATGAGAAAATAAATCCACCAAAGTCACATTCATGCTGATTATTTAACTACAGAAGAACTTCTGCTGACTCACATTTCCTCCGATCCCGAGGAGCAGCAGGAAGAGCAGACCTGACGCCATCTGGGTAGAATGTGTCATTTTAGTGTTCAGGAGGAAAATCCACATTAAAAGACTTTCCTAAAAACTCTGACGTGGATGTCATCACTAGCAGTAACAGCTGATGAAGAGAGGTCAGGTTTTACCTTGTTGTGATGAATCCAAGCAGCAGCAGCAGCAGTCTCTGGGTGAAGGATGCCTTCCTGAACTAAACACAGAGTTTATATACTGTTGCTCCAGCTGGTGGACCTGTCAGTCACTGAGGACAGCTGATTAGATAAACATGAACACAACGGGGTAAACACACCCAACCCTAACCCAGCTAGTACTGGGACTGGTCAGTGTGGGTCAGCAGCAACGACCACACCTGAAGCTGCTTCACGTATCTGACTTCACCATCTCTCTCTCTCTTTGTGTCTCCAGCCCAGCAGGTTGGTGCTGATGGAGCATGATGCTGAGGTTTTCTAAGATAAGGTTTAGGTCAGACAGTTAAAATTTCCTCTCAAATTTCACTTAATTTTACAAACTTCTGGACTTAAAAAGCTCCCACCAGTCAGGCCAACGCGTGATGTCATCATGCATAAAGTTTAAATCAGCAAATGAAGCTACAGTGTTACAGAGGTGAGAGTTTTCTGTCTCCTGACCGTTTTAAATGTTAAAAGTCTGAATTTATCTGACAAGAGAAGTAATGGAGTGTATCTGGATCTTCACAAGGAGATAGTATCGATAGATGTTACGTCCTCACAGACACGCTGGGTCAAACCACAGCCTCGTCTCTGTCCCAGTAGAGTGGACATTTACTGTCCAAAGGGAGTCCGAGTTTAAAAAAGAAGGAAAGTGACAACTTCTCAATGATGTTAGACATGTTCAATTCAATTCAATTCAAGTTTATTTATAAAGCGCCAAATCACGACAAGAGTCGTCTCAAGGCACTTCACATAATAAACATTCCAATTCACAGTTCATTAAGCCAATCAGAAATAATGTGTCCTATATAAGGAACCCAGCAAATTGCATCAAGTCACTGACTAGTGTCAGTGACTATACAGCAATCCTCATACTAAGCAAGCATGCAGCGACAGTGGAGAGGAAAACTCCCTTTTAACAGGAAGAAACCTCCAGAGAATCCTGGCTCAGTATAAGCAGCCATCCTCCACGACTCACTGGGGATCGAGAAGACAGAGCAGACACACACACACACATATAGTTATATTGTGATGTCTTAGTAAATATTCTATTTGGTGAAAGATAAACTTTATTGTATTTATCCTAGTGGATCTATAATTAAACGGGTAAACTAGTAGTAGCACATCCAACGTCAAGGAAAGCAAAAAGTTATTATCAGGAGAAGGAGAATGTTTAAGTGGTTAGCAGCAGTGTGCTAGACGATGGCCCCCTCCATGAGGCCACCACAGCTCAGCAGAACATCCTTGTAGCTTCTTCTGGGGAGAAAAACACTTAGAGAAAAAATAAAGTTAACAGCTGAAATTGCAGAAAGTAATACAGTTAAAGAGCAGATAGTAAAAGAAAGCAGTAGAGTGTGGAAAGTGGTCAGTGTGTCCTCCAGCAGTCTAAGCCTATAGCAGCATAACTACAGAGATAACTCTGGATAATCTATCCTATTTAGATGGAGGCATGTTGGAGGCAGGGCAAGGGAGAGCCGTCTTTAACGACTGTACACTCCACCTCCCTGTACTCCCCCACTTGTCCAGATTTAGGCTAACATCAGATTTTAACCATAGGCCCTATCAAATAAAAATATTTTAAGCCTAGTCTTAAATGTAGACAAACTGTCTGCCTCACGGACTAAGGCTGGGAGCTGGTTCCACAGGAGAGGAGCCTGATAACTAAAAGATCTGCCTCCCATCCTAATTTTAGATATTCTGGGAACCACCAGTAGACCTGCAGTCTGAGAGCGAAGTGCTCGGTTAGGAACATATGGAACAATCAGATTACTGATGTATGATGGAGCTTGATTATTAAGAGCTTTATATGTGAGAAGAAGGATCTTAAAATCTATTCTGAATTTAACAGGTAGCCAATGTAGGGAAGCTAAGACAGGAGAGATATGATCTCTCTTTTTAATTCTCATCAGAACTCTAGCTGCAGCATTTTGGACAAGCTGAAGACTTTTACCTACATTCTGTGGACTTCCTGAAAGTAATGAATTACAGTAATCCAGTCTTGATGTAATAAATCCATAAACTAGTTTTCAGCATCACTCCTGGAAAGGATGCTTCTAATCTTAGCAATATTCCGAAGGTGGAAAAAGGAAATCCGACAAACTTGTGAAACCTGGGATTTGAATGACATGTCCTGGTCAAAGATAACACCAAGGTTCCTTACTTTGTTCTCGGAGATTAATGTAATGCCATTCAGGTCAGGCGATTGGCTAAGCAATTTCCTTTTCTGGATTTCTGGTCCAAAGATGAGAACTTCCGTCTTGTCTTGATTTAAAAGCAAAAAGTTTAGAGTCATCCAATGTTTTATGTCCTCAAGACAAGCCTGTAATCTACCCAACCGATTAGGTTAATCAGGGTTAATGGATAAATATAGCTGAGTATCGTCAGCATAACAGTGGAAGTTTATCCCATGCTGTCTAATGATTTTACCAATTGGGAGCATATATATAGTAAAAAGAATTGGTCCAAGCACTGAACCCTGTGGTGCTCCGCAAGTAACCCTGGAGTATGAAGAAGATTTGTCATGTACATTTACAAAATGAAATCTGTCACACAGGTATGATTTAAACCAGCCTAGCGCTGCTCCTTTGATCCCTACAACATGTTCAAGTCTTTCTAAAAGAACATTGTGATCAACTGTGTCAAAGGCAGCACTGAGATCTAACAAGACTAGAACAGACACAAGATTCTTATCTGAGGCCATAAGAATATCATTTGTAACTCTCACTAATGCAGTTTCAGTGCTGTGATACTCTCTAAAACCAGACTGAAATTCCTCAAACAGAGCATTAGTGTTTAAATGCTCACATACTTGGATGGGCACTATTTTCTCCAGGACTTTGGATAAAAATGGAAGGTTAGATATTGGTCTATAATCAGGGGCGGATGTACAAGGGTGGCATAGGGTGGCAGTTGCCACCCTAAAAGAAAGCCTTGCTACCCCTGCTGCCACCCCAGCTGGCAGCTGTAAATTCCATAAATAGTTGTGGCATTACAAACGTTAATGTTGCATGTCCAAAAACATTGAACACAGCACAAAGTCGCCCATGCAATGGATTAAAATGCAGCAAAAGTCACAGGTCCGATTACATTGAACGCAGCACACTCACCATCGGCGCTCGAGTTCTGAGCAGCAGAAGGCAGCGGCGGGAAGCGAGAGGAGAGGAGATCGGGCCGACGCAGACGAGAAGGCAACCGAGGAGGTAAGAACTAAATAACTACGCTATTTCACTTGATGATAATAGCTGCTGTTGATTTTAAGACGATAAAACGCCAAAGCGCGTTGTGTGTAGGTTAGTGACGCCAGACGTACACGGTGCAGTGTGCGAACATGGCGCTCAAGCTTTGATTTGCTAGAAAGTTGTACAGTTTGAAATGGAGCTGAATGCTACGAGTGAAAAAGTCGCACAGTGTACGCCAGGCTTAAGCCAGATTCTTAGGCCTGTTTATGGCAGAAAAGCAGATATCAATTAAATATTTGTCCAGAAAACATTGTAAATGACTTTCAATCTTTCAGAAATGAAGAGGAAAGGTAGTATCTCTAGCTTTTTCTCACCAAAGAGTAAGGTGAGACAAACGGAGACTAACCAGCTCTGTTGTGGAGGAGATGAGCTGGAAAGAGAGAGAGAAGAGCAACACAAATGTGACAAAGAGCAAGATCAGGGACAGGAGGAAATGATAGAAGGGCACAGCGGTGAAGTGATGGAGAAGGGAGAGGATCACCACCAAGACGAGGAGGGAGAAAGACGAGACGGTATGCAGGGCTCAGATAGTGGAAACACAGAGTCTGAAACATCACCAAACATCTCCAGTCGAGCTGGTCCACACGGTATGGATATATCACCGCATACAACATCTGAATCAAAATATTAAAAACAAAATAACTATTTTTCTAGGCAGTACATTTAAACTTAAGATGAATGTTTTTATTCATCCTTATTTGGTTTGCTTTCTATGAAAAACATTTTTGTGTAAAAGGGAAAGAAAGTTACCCAAAAACATATTTTAAGCTGTGCGTGTTAACTCAGTCTGATTAATCTCGTAAAAACAATTTCTTTTCACCTCTTCTCTTTCAGTCATATCCAAGTCCTGGTGTGAGGGACCAGCACAACCAAAGCTCCAGAGTTTTCCTAAGACATTTCAAGGAGGAGCCAGGAGAAGCTTTCACAGTGACTGGTACAAATCCCATCCATGGCTGGAGTACTCACAGTTGAACAATTCAGCGTACTGTTTTGCCTGTAGGCATTTTTCCCTCCCTGATGCTCCAAGGACTGTTTTCACCTCCCTTGAGGGTTATCAAAACTGGAAAAAGGCAAAATTGAAAGACAGCGGTTTCTGTTCTCATGCAAGATCAGAAAGCCATGAAAATGCAATGTTTGCATGGACAGAGAACAAAAAAACTATGGACAAAAATGCTTCATTATTTGCAATAATGGATGAGGAAAATAAGAAACAGGTGACTGAAAATCAGTATTACATTAAAACACTGGCTGAGATCCTTGTTCTAACTGCAACAGAAAATGTAGCCCAGCGGAGTCACAGGGAGACTTCAGATTCAGAGAAAAAAGGGATTTTTCTATCAATGTTAGATTTGCTAAGTAACCATAATCCTGTCATTAAAAAAAGACTTGAACAACAAGCGAAAAATGCTAAGTACACCAGTAAAACAATCCAAAATGAAATACTTGAATGCCTAGCTGGAATGGTTAAAAAGAGCAAGCAGTTTTCAGTGATTGTGGATGAAACTAGAGATGTTCAAAAAACAGAACAAATTTCATTTGTTCAGAGATACTATTACAGTGGTGTGGTTCATGAGAGTTTTCTTGAGTTTGAAGTGGCAGAACAGATGGATGCTGCTGCCTTAAGTGACAAGATCATAAATTTTCTTGAGAAGCATGGCCTAGAGTACAAGGACAGCCTCGTAGGTCAAGGCTATGATGGTGCAGCAGTTATGCGTGGAGCACATGCAAGTGTCCAAGCTAAAATAAAAGAAGTGGCTAAACATGCCTTTTATGTTCACTGCAGCGCATATTGCTTAAACTTGGTCATTGTAGACGTTGTAAAAAGTGTGGCAGATGCAGGAAACTTCGTCTCCTTGT